GTGATATGGAGGTGAATTTAGTTGAGTCCTTTTAAATTTATGAGTTTATATTATGATATTCTTTTGTTATTTAATACCTTATTTGAATTAACCAATTTTAAAAAGAAAAAACCAAAAAAAAAAAAAGGTTGGGGATTGGAATCCTAATAGAAAGAAAGAAAAGGACTTGATTAGGATTGGACATCCCAATCTGGAATCCAACTAACTAAGAAAAAGGTAAATAGAAGTCGTAGGACTAGTATTGTTATTTTACCATTCAAGAAATTACATAGTGGTCCAAAAGTCTAACATGAACTTGTTTTTTTCACAATGGGTGAAGGTGTCGACACAAAACCAATTTTAAGTTATTGTGCAAGTCTAACATGATGTAAGGGTATCGACACTTAGGTGATTTCCAATAATTGAGCATTGGGATTTTTTGAACCTCCAAATATTAATTGTCTATTGATATTTATACACAATGTTTCAGATTTCATATGAAGAACATCTATTAATAATTTTATTTAATGATTATATGTGCATAAATTATATTTATTAAGTTGTCTGATTTTATAAACCAAAATAATTATTTATCTAATATATTAATTTGTTTCATCATATCAAAATACATATTAAGTGCAACACATAAAATATGTATCAATATTTACAGATTAAAGATATATAATTATTGGTAAATAAATTATTAATATGACATGTTTTTCAAGTTTTTCATTTTTTTGGTTTGAAATCATTTTGTAAATATTGTCATGCATATGATATATACTATGAAACATATATTGGAGATTAAATTTCAAGATTTTGTTACAGTAATTAGCCATAATTGGAGATACATAAATTTTATATATCCATGATTTATATATTGTAATATCTTTGAGTTAAATTTCTTAAAATTGATTGTACTACTCATTTGTAAAGCTTTTAAGTTTGACTATTAACAAGAAAATTTATTATCATGGATAAATGATTAGATAATTGTGAAACTTTAGTTCTAGTGAAAATTACTTATCTTCATATGTGATTTAGTATATGAGTTTCCTAACATTGTGGTTTTTAATAAGGAAATAAAGTGTTCATATTTGGATGTAAAAAATATATTTACAGTTGCTAAATAATAAATTATCTATAAAAAAATAATTAGGCATTTGGAGAAATCATAATTGTTATTTTCTACTAACTCTTTGGAAGTTAAGAAAATTTTCAAAGAATGTATATTAAAAGTGCATTAAGGATTGTTGAGAATTACAATTTCAATGATCCATCAAGTTGTATCAAGGCAAACTACAATTGTATAATCATATAAGGTAACTAAATATGATTTTACTCATATTGATATTTTATTCAAAATAAAATTATTTGTTTTCATACGTGAGTTCTGACATATGAATTCTATAGTTTAACTACTCAATTTTTAAACCTTTAAAGAGGTTTTGTGAAATTAAAATTTGTGTATGACTCATGATATATAATTTAAGGTTAAATTATTGATTATATAACAAATTTTATTAGTAATTAATTACCTTCAAAGAATAATTATATATGTCTATTATATATAATGGTGATAGCCTAATTGTGGTAGTGCATAAAGTTTTTTAAAATCTTAAAGAAAAGATATTTCACAAAGTTGTAAAATTTTTAAAATTTGTGTATTTTGATTTATTTAAGATACTGATGGAATTTCATATGATTTTTTTTAGTATTAAAGTAAAGGAATAAATTAGTATTGAAAATGTTCCCAAAAGTTTTAAAATTCTCTTAATTCATATATTAAAGAATTACCATTATTAAAAAATTATAAAGGAAATAGTTGACAGGGATCATAGAACCATATATATTTTGTGATTAATGATTAATATAAATATCAAGAGTTTATTTATTAAGATTAATGATTTTTATCACTTAAGATTTTTCGGGATATAAAGAAATTTCGTTTTGGTGGGAGATTGGTTAATCTTCCAATGAGGATTATGAAATGTTACATTGTTGTGGGTAATTGTTTCATTGGGAGTTTGTAAGTTGATATAAATGGTACTACCAAAGTAGATCATTTATTAAGATTCAAATGTTTCTTAATAAGGATTCTAAAATATAATATTATTTATAAGTAAGTATTTCAGTGAGGTATGTGAATTAACATGAGTAGTACTACTAAAGTAGCAAAGTGGGTCATCTATTAAATTGTATCTTTCTCAATAAGGATTCTAGAATATTTGTTTTTTGAAATTAATATGTATGATTACTTATCCAAAGAGGATGATTGTACATATTGACTGAAACAAGTGTAAATGGTTAATAAAGGTTTTTATTTTAGTTTTATAAAAAAAAAAAATTGCCCAAAAGAGATTATTTTTTATGAAATATTTTTATTAATTCACTTGTAATAAAACTTTTAAATTTTAATAAAGTTTCATTTCCATTTATTACATTAAATTACTATATCATTAAAATTAATTGATCTATTAAAAAGATCAAATATAAATTATTAAATGTAAAAAAATAAAGTTATTATTTTTATATTAGTATATGCAATATTTGCCGATTATGAATGTAGAAAGTGTTGACCGAACGAAAAAATAATTTAAGATATTAATAAAAAAAAAAGTGCAGGATAAAGGGTTTGGCCAACAAACAAAATGGAAATTTTGATGGGATTTTCTTTTTCTTTTG